GGGTTTAAGAAGGTAGGGAAGCTCTAACCCATGATGATAGTGCACAGTCTCAAGATTAGTTGTCTTCCCAAGGGTAACTCTTGCCACAATTGACTGTAGGCTGGCTAGTAAATTACAACATAACAAAGCACAGGTGCAATCTATTCAGATCAGGCTCGGTTATAAACTGGCACAAACAACCACCTCACTTATTCCATCTATTGGTCTTCAATGGATGGAATTTATCTCAACTTGTATGTACATAAGGGTTCCATTAGATTGGATTACAGTAAAGCCTCGAATAACAACGGTTATGTGTCCTCCAATATTGCAGTGCAAGTTGAATCATCGGATCGTGAATCATTAATTACCATTAAAATAATGCAATAATTATGAGATGCGTTCCCAAGTGTGACCTTTTCATATCTTTTGTGTGGCTTTTTACCCTCTTTTCCCCAAAGACAATAAAATTAATGAAAAATGCAAACTATACTCTTTAAATAATGTATATGGATGCACCTTAAATAATATTAATGAATAATAATATGGTCACACAAGAGGAGATGGGACGCCATTGTTTCCATTAGTGTTTACACCCCGGAGTCCTGGACGATGGTTTTACATAAAAAAAATGAAGAAAATAAAACCCTGGTTGTAGATGTTGTAAAATTATTGTAAAAAAAATGAATATACGTATATGTTTTTAATAATGTTATTTAATGTTAATAAATGGAACAATAGAAGTAGCTAACCACTAATGGCAAAGATAAAAAGCAAGATGGATTGGGAACGCCAACATATACTGAACAGTACGTGCGCATTTAAAGAAACAACGTCATTTATCTTATTAAGAATATGTACAAAAGTCACTATTGTTTATTACTGAATATGTATTTGATTGAATTAATCTTTATATATGCAAAATGAACAAAGCAATTCATTAATAATATGTAGAATTTTAAAACACACAAGAGGATAAGTGATGGCATTGTTGTTGTCAGTGTTTACACCCATAATGTCATTTTCCACTTGAAACTGCAAAAATAAGACCCTGTTTGTTGATGAAGTAAATTTAATGTGAAAAATTTGTATGCTTTAATTAATGTTATTTAATTTACAACAGAAGTAACCACCGATATTAAAGAAAAAAAGTGAGACATAGTGGAACGCCAATGTATACATGTGCACTCAAAGAAACAGTCATTTATCTTAAGAATATGTACAAAAGATTCATTATTGTTTATTACTGAATATGTATCTGATTGAATTAATGTTTATACAGTATATAGTCTCGATTTACGCAGATTTTGTTTACTCGTTTGGTCATTTACACGCACCTTGCCAGAATGAAAATTTTAAGTTGCGCGGTTCATTTATGCGGGAAGCGGTGCCTGGAGGGTGCGCATTAGGTCGCTCTTACGTTATCGCTGATGTCATATGATGTATCGGACTGTGATTGGGCCAAGCATCCTTACCTCCCTCCGCCGCTAGCTGTGATTGGTCTAATGTAACATGACGTGCCCTGCCACCAGTGGGAAGAAGTCGCTGACCTAGCCGGGCCAGTCTCATTGTTCTCAGTTCCCCACGTATACTATTCTCTCTTGTGCCCGCTATTCCCCTCACAATGGCTTTCGCTGGACCCCCACCACCCCCGAGAAACCTTGAACTACCTGGACCAAGCCATGGCTATGTGAAGGAAGTCATCGAGTTTGGGGAGAAAATCAAGCTCATCCTTAACAAAGACACACTCAAGCATCGCTATGAAGTGTCTAATAACCTTCTGTCGAAAATTATGGAGCCGTATGTCCAGATGTATCACGACAACATTAATGCTAGTCTCGCCTGCAACCCACCACAACCACAGCCAGCCCAAGTCAGTGATAGTGACAGTGAGGATATGGATTTTGAGGGGTTTGTCAGGGAGGCCCTGCAAGCTTCTGTGAATAGTGATAGTGATTCACCGGAGGGCCACTAATCTGCCCTCTGCCTCGGAACCAGCCACCATCCATGTGTGCCGACCCATCTCTTCTACTAACGTAAGTGTTAAACACCTTTATATTTGTAGTTTTTTATTTAGATATTATTTGTGTGTCAATACCATCATAAAATTATGATGTTATTTTTACTACAAGGTACGTATTTTGTCGGAAAAAGTGGAGTTTGGAAGTCGGCCCAGTAATATAATCCCATATGTTCTGTTATTTCGTTTACGCGTTTCTCGTTTTACGCGGACCTCCACAAGAGTAGACAAGACAACATTGTTTTTGTGAGTGACGATGGTTCTGCATAAGAAACTGAAGAAAATAAGACCCTGGTTGTAGCTGTAGTGAACTTAATGTAAAAAAAAAAAGAATACCTGTATGTTGTTTTAAGTATTGTTATTTATTGTTAATAAATGGAACAATAAAAGTAGCTAACCACTAATGGTAAAGAAATAAAGTGAGACGATTGGGAACGCCAACGTATGTAAGTGCACACATTTGAAAACATATCGTTATTTCCCTACATATGAATATGAAAGCAACACTTATTTACTGTTCATATATGTTTTAAATAATACTTACAAATGTAAAACAAAAATTCCACTTGCCAATTGCAAACTGAGGCACAGAAGCGCCAAGGCCGGAAAGACGCTGCCGCCGCCCCTCCCGCACTCGATGTAGCCCTCCACATGTGCAACATCTGTGATCGACCCTGCTGGTCCTGTATCAGCCTCTTTAGTCTCCTCAGAGCTCACCAATGAAGGTGAAATCCTTAATAACTCATATCATTGTATCATAGTTGGATGATCCTCATACTCGTTTCCGAGTAACAGCAAAGTAGAAGTAGTAGTAGTCAGTGGCGACCTGGATTACGCAGTTCAGTTCTGGTCACCGTATTACAGAATGGATATAGAATCCTTGGAAAGAATTCAGAGGAGAATGACAAGACTAATCCCGGGCATTAGGAACCTTGAGTATAGACAGGTTAAAGCATCTTAATTTGCACTCCCTCGAGAGACGTAGAGCGAGGGGCGACCTGATTAGAGGTGTATAAGTGGAAGGCAGGGCTAAACAAAGGGGACATTACAAAGGTACTCAAATTATCCAACCAGGAGCGAACTCGTAACAATGGTTTTAAATTAGACAAATTTAGATTTAGGCGTGAAATAGGTAAACACTGGTTTGGAAACAGAGTAGTGGATGAATGGAACAAGTTACCAAATATCATCATTAACTCGAATACGCTGAATTGCTTCAAACATAGGTTGGATGCTCATATGAGCAATAGGGGTTGGGTGTAAACGGGACTGCCCAGTATGGGCCAATAGGCCCGCTGCAGTTTCCTCCATTCTTATGTTCTTATGTTCTTATGTAGTGTAATGGTCAGCTTGCTCGCCTCGCAAGTGAACGGACCCGGGTGCGATCCCCGGGTGGGGTGAAACTATGGGCAAGTTTCTTTATGCCATTTGTCTCTTGTCTACCCAGTAGTAATTGGGAACCTGGATGTTATTTGATTTGCGAATTGTGTTCCAGGGTAATGGTTAGCCAGTGCAGTTGGCGAGTTGTCCGGTCTTCTCGTACTATTCCTTGACACTGGGTCATGCAACTCGTTTAACTTAGGGTGTGGTTGTTGTGTTGGCGACAGCTTCTACACCTTAAACAAATTTATGCTTAGGTGGCCCATGGGCAGGCATTATTAATAGTTAGTGGTGGTGTAGTCAATGATAATGTAGTTAGTGGTGGTGTAGTTCGTGATAGTGTAGTTAGTGGTGGTGGAGTTAGTGGTGGTGTAGTTAGTGGTGGTGGAGTTAGTGGTGGTGTAGTTAGTGGTGGTGGAGTTAGTGGTGGTGGAGTTAGTGGTGGTGCAGTTAGTGGTGGTGCAGTTAGTGGTGGTGTAGTTAGTGGTGGTGCAGTTAGTGGTAGTGTAGTTGGTGGTGGTGTAGTTGGTGGTGTAGTAGTTAGTGGTGGTGTAGTTAGTGGTGGTGGAGTTAGTGGTGGTGGTTAGTGGTGGTGGAGTTAGTGGTGGTGGAGTTAGTGGTGGTGCTGTTAGTGCAGTTAGTGTGGTGGAGTTAGTGGTGGTGGAGTTAGTGGTGGAGTTAGTGGTGGTGTAGTTAGTGGTGGTGCAGTTAGTGTTAGTGGTGGTGCAGTTAGTGGTGGTGCAGTTAGTGGTGGTGTAGTTAGTGGTGGTGCAGTTAGTGGTAGTGTAGTTGGTGGTGGTGTAGTTGGTGGTGTAGTAGTTAGTGGTGGTGTAGTTAGTGGTGGTGGAGTTAGTGGTGGTGGAGTTAGTGGTGGTGGAGTTAGTGGTGGTGTAGTTAGTGGTGATTTAGCTAGTGGCAGTGGAGTTAGTGGTAGTGTAGTAGCATAGCTAGATATGGTGTATTCAGTGTTGGGTGTAGTGAGTGTTGGTGAGTATCGCTACAGCGCCACACCTTTTCCGTCGTCTTAATTCATGCTTATTATGAAGATTACTACCCATTCACCTACTTGTGTATGTGTGTGAGAGAGAGAGAGATTCTTGTTGACCTTAAAGTTGAGCGGCAGAAATTGGACAGTGATTACATAAGATCATCAAGATGGGAAAGTTGGTTATCTACTTATCATAGAAAACGGGAAATTTGTATCATAGAAAATGGGAAATATCTACATTCCGGGAAAGTTGGTTATCTACTTACCATAGAAAACGGGAAATTTGTATCATAGAAAATGGGAAATATCCACATTCCGGGAAAGTTGGTTATCTACTTTCCCGAAAAGTAGATTATCGACTTTTTGGGGAAGTAGATTATCGACTTTTTGGGGAAGTAGATTATCACTGGTCTGCATGATTTTTTTTATTGACTGTATTTCATCTTTTTCGAAATATATATTAAAAATAGTGATTCACTGTGTTTTTTATTCATCTCTATCACATCAGGTTCTGTGACGTTGACTTTTCATTTTTTATATAACATAAGTAAATGCTAAAGTATAATACCAATTAAAATACTTACCTTATATTGACTTAAATGTTAAATCTAATATATTTTTCTTTATTTTCAGTTCTTTGAGAAAAAAGATGGTCTTGTTTTGTGTTCAAATATTTGTGGCCTTATCGAGCACATGGGGATGTCGTACAAAGCAGATGAATGGAGGCTCTTCATTGATTCTTCTAACAAAAGTTTAAAGGCTGTTCTTCTCTACAATGGCAACGCAGCTGCATCTGTGCCAATTGGCCATAGTGTCCAAATGTCAGAAACTTACGAAAATATGAAGACACTTTTAACTGCAATCAAGTACCATAATCACAATTTTCTCATTTGTGGTGATTTAAAAGTTATTGCTCTCCTACTAGGTCTTCAAGGGGGATACACCAATTATCCCTGTTTTCTGTGTCTCTGGGATAGTAGGGCAGACAGCCAGCACTATGAACAAAAATACTGGCCACCAAGAACCAGCTTCTTACCCGGAGATCACAACGTAAAAGCTGTGCCACTAGTTGACCCCAAGAAAATTCTGCTACCGCCACTCCACATCAAATTAGGGCTTATGAAAAATTTGGTGAAGGCCCTGAACAAGAATGGAGCTGCTTTCAAGTACCTGGAGTCAAAGTTTCCTCGTATAAGTGAAGGCAAGCTAAAGGCAGGAATCTTTGTTGGCCCTCAGATTCGGGAATTGATGAAGGACATGCATTTTGAGGAAGCATTAGCTGGTGTCGAGGTGAATGCCTGGTTTTCCTTCAAACAGATTGTCCAAAACTTCTTGGGAAACAGCCGCTCTCCAGAATATGAAAAACTGATCCAAGACCTGATTTCAAGTTTCCGGCAACTTGGGTCTAGAATGAGTGTGAAGATGCACTTTCTGCAATCACATCTTGACTATTTTCCCAAGAATTGTGGGGACTACAGTGAGGAACAGGGAGAGCGGTTCCATCAGGTTATATGCACCATGGAAACTCGATACCAGAGCAAATGGAATGTCAGCATGATGGCGGATTACTGCTGGTCATTGAAACGTGATGGTCCCGATGCACAGCACAAGCGGAAATCAAAGCGGTCCTCCTTCCTTTGAATCAATATGTAGGCTAACTATTAGGAGCATCTTTTTGTTTACATTCATTAGATTTTATGTTGATTATTCTGCTTCATTTCATGATAAACGTAATTAATTTCATGGTTATTTGGAATACATTAATAATTAATTATATATTATTATATTATATCATATTTAAAAATCATTAATTTGTATTTTATTAAAAATCCTTACGTGATAGAGCAAAATGGTGGAGATATTTAAAATCAGCAACCCAAGAATATGTAAGATCACATGCATGAATAAAAATAAAAATAAAAAAGTTCCCAAATGCAGACCAGTGAAATTATCGACTTTTTGGGAAATATTACCTAATTTTCCGAAGTAGATTATCATAGAAAACGGGAAATTTGTATCACAGAAAATGGGAAATATCTACGTTTTGGGAAAGTTGGTTATCTACTTATCATAGAAAACGGGAAATTTGTATCATAGACAATGGGAAATATCTTCTTTCCGGGAAAGTTGGTTATCTACTTTCCCAAAACGTAGATTATCTACTTTTCGGGAAAGTAGATTATCGACTTTTTGGGGAAGTACATTATCGACTTTTGGGGAAATATTACCTAATTCTCCGAAGTAGATTATCATAGAAAACGGGAAATTTGTATTATAGAAAATGGGAAATATCTACTTTCTGGGAAAGTTGGTTATCTACTTATCATAGAAAACGGGAAATTTGTATCATAGAAAATGGGAAATATCTACTTTCCGGGAAAGTTGGTTATCTACTTTCCCAAAAAGTAGATTATCTACTTTTCGGGAAAGTAGATTATCGACTTTTTGGGGAAGTACATTATCGACTTTTGGGGAAATATTACCTAATTTTCCGAAGTAGATTATCATAGAAAACGGGAAATTTGTATTATAGAAAATGGGAAATATCTACTTTCTGGGAAAGTTGGTTATCTACTTACCATAGAAAACGGGAAATTTGTATCATAGAAAATGGGAAATATCTACATTCCGGGAAAGTTGGTTATCTACTTTCCCGAAAAGTAGATTATCTACTTTTCGGGAAAGTAGATTATCGACTTTTTGGGGAAGTAGATTATTGACTTTTTGGGGAAGTACATTATCGACTTTTGGGGAAATATTACCTAATTTTCCGAAGTAGATTATCATAGAAAACGGGAAAATTGTATCATAGAAAATGGGAAATATCTACTTTCTGGGAAAGTTAAGTTATCTACTTCTATCATAGAAAACGGGAAATTTGTATCATAGAAATGGGAAATATCTACTTTCCGAAACAGTTAGCTATTTTCCCAAAAGATTATTCACTTTTCGAAAGTAGATTATCGACTTTTCGGGGACGTAGATTTTCGAATTTTCGGGGAAATAGTTCCCAATTTTGCAAAGTAGATTATCATAGAAAACGGGAAATTTGTATCATAAAAAATGGGAAATATCTACTTCCGGGAAAGTTGGTTATCTACTTATCATAGAAAACGGGGAAATTTGTATCGCTAGAAAAATGGGAAATATCTACTTTCCGAAAGTTGGTTATTCATTTTCCCAAAAAGTAGATTATCGATTTTCGGGAAAGTAGATTATCGACTTTTTGGGGAAGTAGATTATCGACTTTGGGGGAAATATTACCTAATTTTCCGCTGAAGCGATTATCACAGAAAACGGAAATTTGTATTATAGAAAATGGGAAATATCTACTTCCGGGAAAGTTGGTTATATACTTATCATAGAAAACGGGAAATTTGTATCGTAAAAAATGGGAAATATCTACTTTCCGGGAAAGTTGGTTATCTACTTTCCCGAAAAGTAGATAGATTTTCTTCTTTTTGGGAAAGTAGATTATCGACTTTTCGGGGACGTAGATTTTCGAATTTTCGGGGAAATAGTTCCCAATTTTGCAAAGTAGATTATCATAGAAAACGGGAAATTTCTATCACAGAAAATGGGAAATATCTATTTTCTGGGAAAGTTGGTTATCTACTTATCATAGAAAACGGGAAATTTGTATCATAGAAAATGGGAAATAATCTACTTTCCGTGAAAGTTGGTTATCTACTTTCCCAAAAAGTAGATTATCTACTTTTCGGGAAAGTAGATTATCGACTTTTTGGGGAAGTACATTATCGACTTTTGGGGAAATATTACGTAATTTTCCGAAGTAGATTATCATAGAAAACGGGAAATTTGTATTATAGAAAATGGGAAATATCTACTTTCTGGGAAAGTTGGTTATCTACTTATCATAGAAAACGGGAAATTTGTATCATAGAAAATGGGAAATATCTACATTCCGGGAAAGTTGGTTATCTACTTTCCCGAAAAGTAGATTATCTACTTTTCGGGAAAGTAGATTATCGACTTTTTGGGGAAGTAGATTATCGACTTTTTGGGGAAGTACATTATCGACTTTTGGGGAAATATTACCTAATTTTCCGAAGTAGATTATCATAGAAAACGGGAAATTTGTATTATAGAAAATGGGAAATATCTACTTTCCGGGAAAGTTGGTTATCTACTTTCCCAAAAAGTAGATTATCTACTTTTCGGGAAAGTAGATTATCGACTTTTTGGGGAAGTAGATTATCGACTTTTGGGGAAATATTACCTAATTTTCCGAAGTAGCTTATCATAGAAAACGGGAAATTTGTATCACAGAAAATGGAAATATCTACTTTCCGGGAAAGTTGGTTATCTACTTATCATAGAAAACGGGAAATTTGTATTATAGAAAATGGGAAATATCTACTTTCCGGGAAAGTTGGTTATCTACTTTCCCAAAAAGTAGATTATCTACTTTTCGGGAAAGTAGATTATCGACTTTTTGGGGAAGTAGATTATCGACTTTTAGAAATATTACCTAATTTTCAGTAGATTATCATAGAAACAGAAATTTGTATCACAGAAAATGGGAAATATCTACTTTCTGGGAAAATTGATTTATCTACTTATCATAGAAACAGGAAATTTGTATCATCATAGAAAATGGGAAATATCTACTTTCAGGGAAAGTTGGTTATCTACTTTCTGAAAGTAGATTATCTACTAAAATGAATTTATCGACATTTTGAGGAAGTAGATTATCGACTTTTGAGGGAAATATTACCTAATTTTCCGAAGTAGATTATCATAGAAAACAGGAAATTTATTATAGAAAATAGAAATATCTACTTTCTGGGAAAGTTGGTTATCTACTTATCATAGAAAACGGGAAATTTGTATCATAGAAAATGGGAAATATCTACATTCCGGGAAAGTTGGTTATCTACTTTCCCGAAAAGTAGATTATCTACTTTTCGGGAACGTAGATTATCGACTTTTTGGGGAAGTAGATTATCGACTTTTTGGGGAAGTACATTATCGACTTTTGGGGAAATATTACCTAATTTTCCGAAGTAGATTATCATAGAAAACGGGAAATTTGTATTACAGAAAATGGGAAATATCTACTTTCTGGGAAAGTTGGTTATCTACTTATCGCCAAGAAAACGAAATTTGTATCATAGAAAATGGGAAATATCTACTTTCTGGGAAAGTTGGTTATCTACTTTCCCAAAAAGTAGATTATCTACTTTTCGGGAAAGTAGATTATCGACTTTTTGGGGAAGTAGATTATCGATTTTTGGGGAAATATTACCTAATTTTTCGAAGTAGATTATCATAGAAAACGGGAAATTTGTATCACAGAAAATGGGAAATATCTACTTTCTGGGAAAGTTGGTCATCTACTTATCATAGAAAACGGGAAATTTGTATCATAGAAAATGGGAAATATCTACTTTCCGGGAAAGTTGGTTATCTACTTTCCCGAAAAGTAGATTTTTCTACTTTTCAGGAAAGTAGATTATCGACTTTTTGGGGAAGTAGATTATCGACTTTTTGAGAAATATTACCTAATTTTTCTAAGTAGATTATCATAGAAAACAGGAAATTTGTATCATAGAAAATGGGAAATATCTACTTTCCGGGAAAGTTGGTTATCTACTTATCATAGAAAACAGAAATTTGTATCATAGAAAATGGAAATATCTACTTTCCGGGAAGTTGGTTATCTACTTTCCCAAAAGTAGAATTATCTACTTTTCGGGAAAGTAGATGTATCAACTTTTGGGAGTAGATTATCGACTTTTGAAATATTACCTAATTTTCCGAAGTAGATTATCATAGAAAACGGGAAATTTGTATCACAGAAAATGGGAAATATCTACTTTCTGGGAAAGTTGGTTATCTACTTATCATAGAAAACGGGAAATGTGTATCATAGAAAATGGGAAATATCTACTTTCCGGGAAAGTTGGTTATCTACTTTCCCAAAAAGTAGATTATCTACTTTTCGGGAAAGTAGATTATCGACTTTTTGGGGAAGTAGATTATCGACTTTTGGGGAAATATTACCTAATTTTCCGAAGTAGATTATCATAGAAAACGGGAAATTTGTATTATAGAAAATGGGAAATATCTACTTTCTGGGAAAGTTGGTTATCTACTTATCATAGAAAACGGGAAATTTGTATCATAGAAAATGGGAAATATCTACTTTCCGGGAAAGTTGGTTATCTACTTTCCCAAAAAGTAGATTATCTACTTTTCGGGAAAGTAGATTATCGACTTTTTGGAGTAGATTATCGACTTTTGGGGAAATATTACCTAATTTTCCGAAGTAGATTGTCATAGAAAACGGGAAATTTGTATTACAGAATATGTGAAATATCTACTGTCTGGGAAAGTTGGTTATCTACTTATCATAGAAAATGGGAAATATCTACATTCCGGGAAAGTTGGTTATCTACTTTCCCAAAAAGTAGATTATCTACTTTTCGGGAAAGTAGATTATCGACTTTTTGGGGAAGTAGATTATCGACTTTTGGGGAATATTACCTAATTTTCCGAAGTAGATTGTCATAGAAAACGGGAAATTTGCATTACAGAATATGGGAAATATCTACTTTCTGGGAAAGTTGGTTATCTACTTATCATAGAAAACGGGAAATTTGTATCTGTGGAAATATACATTCCGGTTGATTATCTCGCACCACGAAAGTAGATTATCTACTTTTCAGAAGTGAATTATCGACTTTTAAACCGTTGGCCAAACTTTTGGGAAGTACATTATCGACTTTTTGAAATATTTACCTAATTTTCGAAGTGAATTATCATGAAAACGGAAATTTGTATTACGAAATGGAAATATCTACTTTCTGGGAAGTTGGTTTATCATATCATAGAAACGGAAATTTATTATC